TGAGCTCAAGAGTATCCCAGATCTCCTTAGCAGTCTTGCACTTCTTGATTCTGTTGAAGTATCTATCATCAATGGACTTGTAGAGGATGTCCTTGGCAATATTGTCTAAGTTGTACTTTCTTCTCTCTTCAGTGGTCCATTCTGACTTGGCTTTGCTAATCATCTGGGGTCTGGTATTGTCTATGGCATGTTCAGGGTTGACCTTCTGGAAGCTAGTGAAGGGGCCAATATCAAGAACTTCCCACATCTCATCATGCAGGGCACAGAGATGTGCTTTCATCCGGATCCTCCAGTCATCAAACTTAAGATCTGAAAACATAAGATTCTTTGACAAGGAGTGATCCATTATATCAGATAGAAATGAGGTAAAACAGAAAAACAAGTGGATCTTTGTTCAACAAATAACCTAAAAGATTATTAGAACAAGGAGGCTCTGATACCACTTGTTGGTCCCGGTTATACTGGATACAGTCTAGAGGGGGGGGTGAATAGACTGTATTGGTTTTTTTGTTTTTTTAAACTAAGTACCAGATTTTCAGAATAGCCTGTTCTGTTGGGAGAACAGACTGGCAGCGGATGAGGTTCTGGCAGGGAGTTCTGTTAGCCTCAGAGAAGCAAAGGCAGAAGGCCTTCTGTTAACTCGTAGAACCAGTTCTGCTGAACACAGATACCAAGTCCAAGGAGTTATACAATTCTATCTAAGTGCAAGTATTAAAAGCAGTAAGTAAACGACAACAGGGATTTTTATAGTGGTTCAAGGAACAACTCGTTCCTCTAATCCACTGTTCCACTAAGCTGTAAAAACTGCCGTTTACAAAGCCTTAGTCCTAGCACTTAAGAAGCACTCCACGTCTTCTTCAAGTCTAGATGTGTCCTGGGATGCACTGCCTGGCTTCCTTTAACACTGGTCCTTTCACTGAGTCTCCTTGAAGTATCACCACTTCACCACTCCAGTTATTAGGACGTCCTTCTTGTAGCAAGAAGAGTTTCTGTTGAAACTGAGGTTCCTCCAACTAGCTTCGTTACAAAATGTGTGTATGTGAAGAGCTTGAAGAGTTGAAGAACACTTGGAACTTTGCTTGAGTTGGAAAGAGTATTTTTCCAACTTCTGCCTTCTCTTGTAGAATATACTAAGTTTGAATCTCAAGGAGGCTTTTGCTTTTCAGAGTTTGAATATCTTGCTTGGTTAGCAATGTGATAGCAAGGTTATAGCAAAGTTGTCCGGTTGTTCTTCGTAGTGTATCTTTTATACTGAGGTTGTCTTCCCGTTGGAGGAGTAGGAGGACAACTGCATTAAATGAGTGATCAGTTGACTTGACTAGTAGAGCCCGGTAAGGTTGGCGGGTTACTATTTTGGGATAAAGTATTCCTGACATTCCGGCCAATCATCTGCAATTACTCTACGTAGCATGGGGTGCATTAAATGAGCATTTAATGCATGCACTGTAGCTTTTCCGTTTTATACTCCTAGCCGTTGAAGGAATCTTTAAGTTGACTTCCCGGTTCTTTGAAAATCTTCTAAGTGTCAGACCTTCTGGTGTCTTTGTCAGAGAGTAGAACAGAGGAGGTCTGGAGCACTTCTGTTGGGAGTATCCAACAGAGACCCAGAAGGGTTTCTGTCAGAGTCAATACTAACAGAGGTCCTGAGGACTTCTGTTCTGGAGCAGGGAACCAAAGGTCCTCTGTTCCAATAAAGCCTTAAGAGGCACTTCTGCTCTGGGAGCCCTTCTGTTCTTGAAGCACTTCTGCTCTTGAAGCACTTCTGTCAGGTCGAATACATCTAAGAATTTACAAAGGAAAATTCTAATACATAATTTCTAAAGGGGTACTTCTAAAGTCCTAATGAATATAGCATCATCAAAATCTAAATACAATTATTCCTTACAATTAGTATTTGAATTGATGGTAGACTCACTAACCCATAACTATATACAATTTTGAATTCGGAACAACGGGACGGAACGGGACATATTTTATTTATCTCGGCCCCGTTTTGTTTTGAAACGGTTCGGAACCGGAACGAGACAAAAATAGTTTGTCACGAATTTAACGGGACAATTTCGGTACAGAACCGGAACGCTCCGGAACGGACCAACGGGACCGAGTCTTTTGCCCACCCCTAAAATAAAGTTCACACTTTCCTTTTTGGGAAGGTCCAAAATAAAGTTCACACTTCTTCTCCCTTCCTTATTTGGCAAATTAACTAAATCAAAACAGTGCCAAACAGTGCCCAACAGTGTCACAACAACGTACTTTACAGTAAAATCAAATTTATTTCCTTAATTTGTGTGAAGTCAAACACTGAACTTTATTTAGGATCGGAGGGAGTATAATTTATCACAAATTATGCATTGATTTTGTTTTTGTCTACCAAAATTGGTTGTTATAGTTTACCACAATTATGCTCTTTTTAATATACTCCCTCCGTCCCATGAAATTCTTTTCACTTTCCATTTTGGGTCGCCCCAAAAAAAATCTTTCCACTTACCATTTTTGGACAATTTATATGGTTCACATTCATTTCACATTTTTCTTACATAACCACACATTTTCACTTTATTCCACTTTCTTAATATCCGTGTCATGTCAAAGTGAGAAGAATTTTGTGGGAAAGATGTGTATGTATTTATGTGCCTACTCATTTTTATTTCAAAAGTATGATACCTAAGCATGTATACATAATTCAACTCATTAAAGAGTCAAAAACGTCAATCTATAAAATATGTTAACATCTCGAGAATATAATATTGAGCATCAACTCAATCTTTCACTCATTTCAATCAAAATCTTTGTACCATTCAAAAGTCCAATATCTTATACTCCTCCGTCCATGAAAATACTTCCAACTTTCCCTTTTCGTCCGTCCCCAAAAGAACTTCCCTTTCCTTTTTTGGCAAAGAATTTGTGGTTCAAAGCAATTATCTCTCCTCTGCACAACTCTCCACCACACAATTCTCACTTTCTTAATCTGCGTGCCACTTTATTTTGGAAGTAAATTATGGGACGAAGGTAGTACGTAGTACTCCCTCCGTCCCTTAAAACGTTGTCATGTTTGACCGGCACGAGGATTAATAAAGTGGAAACTGTGTGGTTGAGAGTTGTGCAGAGGAGAGAGAATTAACTGGAACCACAAATTCTTTACTTAAAAGGGAAAGCGGCAAAGTTAGTTGGACATCCAAAAAAAGAAAGTTGACAAAGTTTTAAGGGACGAAGAGAGTATCTACTTATCTAGTTGGACTATTTGTACATGTGTAGTATTAGGAGTCTAAAATATTAAAGATGAAATTTTTGAACTCCTAATTTCATATAGTGGTAGGCTAAATTTTTGGAGTAGGGGAAAGATGTTTTTACTTGGACTGTTTTCAGTCCCAGACCAGATCAGACAAACAGATCAGATCAGATTTTAACAGACCAGACCAAACTCAAACGGATCAGACCAGACCATACTTGACTTCTGTAGTTATAAAATACAAAGAGACCAAACGTTTACCAAATCAGACTTAAACAGATCAGACCAGACCATACCAAACTAAACCTAAACAGAGTATACCAGACATGCAAAAACATCCTAAATATGGAGGGAGGATGAACTACCTAGGCTTAAACAACGGTGGACGTGCGTGGAGGAGAGCATGAGAACAATTAATTTTAACCGTTGAAGTTTTTTAATCCTAAAAAAACACGAAACATAAATTTTAAATTTATGGAGCCTTCACAAATAACCGAATATTCCATAATTGAACTTTACTTGACTAAATTTATTTTTTGTTAACCGAAAAACGTTAAAAAAATTTAATGAAATTTATTTATTTTTACATCGAAATTTGTATTTTTATTTCATAATTATTTAGGAAAAAATTAAAAGGAAGACATTACTTATAATAATTTAAACAATCTTTTATTAAACTGATATGTAAAAAAATATGGTGAATGTACTTTATTGGCGATGCTTCAATGTAGGTAAATATAAGTCAAAATACTATTTTCATATGGACGGAGTTTATTTTTGACATTTTGGACTCCACACCACTCCAAATGGTCTTACATCACATTTGAGTTATGTTTTTTATATGTTAATAAATTTTAATGTTCTTCAAATTTTAATTCTTTACACAAATTTAAATATTTTGAAGAAAAAGTAACTTCCATTTATACTTGGGAAAAATAATTAAAATATCTTAAATTTTGAAGTGGTGTGACATAATCACCTTAAATTTCCGTATGTAATTTAAATAACTCAAACTTTACATAAAAAGTTATTTTAATACCATGATCATGTATCATTTCTTTCAAAAATGTAAATTTATTATGTTAATTGCATAATTTAAAATAGCAAATTGAAAGCGTTGCAATTATATAAAGTGTTGAGTAATACTATTTATTTTACAATGGAAATTTAGAATGTTAATTGTATATTCATGAATTCTAAAATATATTAAATTATGAAATTAACACAAAAAATTGACACCTTTGAAAAAAATAATACATGACTATTGTGCTAAAATAATATTTTACATAAAATTTAGGATATTTAAATTACATGTGCAAGTTCGAGATGTTTAGAATAGTTGGAAGGATTTTAGAGCTTTTAAATTACGTGAAAAGTTTAGAGTATTTTAATTATTTTCCCATGTTTTATTTGATTTTTTTTTTATTTTTAGAGAACTAGAGAAGTATATAAATGCCGCATACCTTCGTAGTGATGAACACTCTTCGCCCCAACGCGCATCTACTTCTCAAGATGGTGGAAGAAATGGAGAAATCAACTCAACCGGAGGAACCTGAGAAGCCCTCATTATCGTCAGCCACCGACGGAGGAGATGCAGCAGACGGATTGGAGGAAGGAGAGATCGCGGGCGAGTCAGATGAGATGCTCAATCCGGACAAGGGATTGACGACAAAACACCAGTTAGAGAACTCTTGGACCTTCTGGTTTGATAACCCCTCTGCTAAATCCAAACAGGCCGCCTGGGGAAGCTCTATTCGGCCCGTGTATACTTTCTCAACGGTTGAAGATTTTTGGAGGTAGCCTTTAGATTGTATTACCGATTGATTTTGAATTGGGGATTTTCTGTTTCTCGTAATTTTCAGTATCCAAGTACATAATTTTTCTAGGGTCTGTATATATGTATGCATATTGTTTGATCAGATCATTTCTTATCTGCCTTATTATAAAGCCAAAGAACTGCAGACTGCAGATCTATCAATTTTTATTCGGTGTGATTTATAGGGTTAGAACATAAGTTTTTCATAGCCATATGAGAACTGGTTTTCTTTATATATCTTGCTTCCAGTGTTTACAATAACATACACCATCCGAGCAAGTTGGGCATTGGAGCAGATTTCCATTGTTTCAAGCATAAAATTGAACCAAAATGGGAGGATCCTGTTTGTGCTAATGGAGGGAAGTGGACAGTAACCTTTGGAAGGGCAAAATCTGATACTAGCTGGTTGTATACGGTACATGAGCTTCCTTTTCTTTTACAGTTTACTTGATACATCTGTGGTTGGAGTTCTTGTGAGACTCTTTGCGCTCTGATATTCTGGTATGGATTTTGTTTCACTAGTTGTTGGCAATGATTGGGGAGCAATTTGACCATGGCGATGAAATATGTGGAGCTGTTGTGAATGTACGAAATAGGCAGGACAAAATTTCTATCTGGACCAAGAATGCTGCCAATGAATCAGCCCAGGTATTTTATCCAGAAGAAAATCCTCTCACCACTGGCTGTTTGAGGAAATGAGTTTGGATGATTCACTCTATGAAAAGGTTTAATCATGAATATGAAATAACAAATAATCATGTGGATCAAATATAATAAGTATTGGAAGTTAAGTTGTTGATGGATATCGATACCCCTTTGAATATATTAGGTCCCAGAAGCAAATTTTCAGTCTGGACCAGAATACTTGGGGTTTTGTGTATATTTCCTAACTGATATTCTACATATAATTGAACTGCAATTATAATTCCTCACTGTTATCTTTTCATTCGTGTAGGTTAGTATTGGGAAGCAATGGAAGGAGTTTCTGGATTACAAAGACGCAATTGGTTTCATCTATCATGTAAGTCTTCTAGTGAGGGGGGTGTGTATAGCTTATTGTTGAATATGGGTCAAGTAACAGTGAAGCATGTTGGTTTGTAGGAGGATGCGAAGAAACTCGACAGGAACGCCAAGAATCGTTACACGGTGTAAGTCTTGACTTCGAAATCAGTTGAATGCTGGATATTATCCATACAAAATGTTCCCAGTATTATAAAATCTTATGTTAGCTAGTTGTTCGGTGGTTAATATAACTTGGAGCTGCCTTTTTGCTTGGTGAAATGTATTTCTGTAGCGTTATTACCCTACTTTTCATCTTTTGCGGTGTTATTGCACTTCTTTTCGTTCTCTCTCATGTAGTCAACCCTTTTGGTCTTGTGTCTTGACCACCAAATTGTGGGTGATGGATGTATACCATGTTGGGAACAAGTTCTTTAGAATTGATTGTGAAAAGAATTATGAATCGTCCTTGTTGAATCAGAAATTGGATAAATGACACTAGCTTAGAGTGGATAATGGAACAGACTGCCATGCTTTATGTAGTTGTTATTATCGTAAAACTTAAATATGCGTTTAGCTCATGTAAATATAGTATTATTTGTTGTAAAATCCACAAGTGTGAATTGTTCATCCTTGTCATCAGGACACTAATTCAATTTCCATTCTTGTAATAGACAGATGGTTAGGTTTAATGTTTCCAGCAGATTATGTAGAATAATTCTTTGATGATTCATCTCCTAGTCAACTAGTATAAATAGGGTGATCAACCCTTTGTAAATGTACTCAGAAATTCAGAAAATATTCAGATATTAAGAAGAAGTAATTTAGAGTTTTTTATCTATATATCTATCTCGGGAAAAAGGGGCAAATAAGGCTACATACTAACAAGAAAAGGTCAAATAAGGCCTTATTCAGTAAATCTAGTTTATTCATCGATGGAATTTTTTGATGAAATTTTTTGAGCATCTTATTCAGTAAATCTAGTTTATTCATACCAAATTTAAGCTAAAACTTCAATCGGGAAGGCATTCAAATGAATTCTTGAAGATAATTGCGCAGTTAAAAGCGCAGTTATCTTCAAGAATTCATTTGAATGCCTTCTCGATTAAATTTTTATCTGAAATTTGGTATGAGTAAACTAGACTTAATGAATAAGATGGTCAAAAAAATATTCATCAACAAATTCAACCGAGAACCACTCATAAATAAGGCCTTATTTGACCTTTTTTGGTTAGTACGTGACCTTATTTGCCACTTTTCCCTATCTATCTCTTAAATTTCATCTTCATCTTCTTCATTTCACAACACGTTATCAACATGAATCTGCTCAAAACTCTCCAAGAAATCATCTTCCTGCAGATATGGATCACTCAAATGATAAAGAGTTATGTCTGATAGACAGCGCCACAACGCACATCATTCTGAGAAATAAAATATATTTTTCTCAAATGACTTTAGTTGAAACTAAAGTCAATACAATATCAGGTGTTGCGAAGCTCATTGAAGGCTCTGGGAAAGCATATATGATGTTCCCTAACGAGACAAGAATTATTATAAATGACGTTTTATACTCCAGCAAATCGCGGAGAAATTTATTGAGCTTTAAAGATATGCGTCAAAATGGTTATCACATAGAAACCATGAATGAAAATCAAAAGGAATATCTTTGTCTTACAACAACTAAATCTGGCAGTAAATATATTTGTGAAAAAATGCCAACATATTCTTCAGGACTATATTTCAAATATATAAGTCCATTCGAAATAAATTTGGTTTTAACACAAAGTTAGATGATCAAAAAACATTCATGTTGTTGACGCATAAAATCATTAAAACTTCACTTGGACATCCATTAAAGAATATCAGGATTCCATTGTCAAGTAATTTTCCTTGTAAGGCTTATTCTCTTGGCAAAATGAACATCAGGCTCTCTATGAACAAAATTGTAACTGAATCACCTGCATTTTTAGAAAGGATTCAAAGAAATATTTGTGGGCCGATAGACCCACCATGTGGACCATTTCGATATTTTATGGTGTTGATTGATGCTTCAACACGTTGGTCAAATGTCAGTCTATTATCGACTATAAATCTAGCATTTGCTAAACTTCTTGCTCAAATCATACGATTAAAAGCTTATTTTCCAGATCATTCTATAAATAGAATCCGACTTGACAGTGCAGGAGAATTTACATCTCAATCATTTAACGACTATTGTATGTCGATTGGGATTGATGTGGAGCACCCTGTTGCTCATGTCCATATACAAAATGGTCTTGCTGAATCTTTGATTAAACGATTACAATTAATCGCCAGACCATTATTAATGAAGTGTAATTTACCTTCATCCGCTTGGGGACATGCTATTTTACATGCAGCAAATTTAGTTGGCTTAGACCGACTGTATATCATGAATATTCCTCAATGCAATTAGTTACTGGACAAGAGCCAAACTTAGCACACATAAAAATATTTGGTTGTGTTGTTTATGTTCCAATTGCTCCACCTCATCGTACAAAAATGGTTCCTCAAAGAAGGTTGAAAATTTATGTTGGATTTGAATCTCCCTGAATAATCAAATATCTTGAACCGATGATTGGTGACTTATTCACCGCACGATTCGCTGTCATTTCAATGAGACAGTATTCCCAACCTTAGGGGGAGAAACTAATAAATCGGACCAAAGTATGAAAGAAATAACATGGAATGCAACAAGATTATCACACCTTGATTTTAGATCAAATATATGTGAGCAAGAGGTGCAAAAGATAATCCATTTACAAAATGTTGCAAATCAGTTGCCTCATGCATTCACATATACAAAGAAAGTGACAAAGTCACATATTCCTGCTATGAATGCTCCTGCCAGAATCGAAATTCCAACAGAGAATTTTGAAAAATCTCTTGCAAATAATTCTTCTATACGCAAAAAGCGTGGCAGGCCACTTGGATCCAAAGATATAAAACCAAAAAAACTAAAAGGCAGGAATTGATCTGTGATGCCAAAGATGTTCATCCTTCTGAACAAGAAAATGAACAATTTGAATATACTGGCATAGAAAATGATATTGACAATACAAACATCTCAAATGATGATCCAACTTCCTTAAACGAGGAAGATATTCCAGATAACGATAGAAACGTTGATAATTATGAAATTTCAATAAACTACGTTTCTACTGGAATGTAATGGAATCGTAAAGATGTTGATATTAATGATATATTTGTCTATGTCATTGCCACGAATGTTATGAATGAAAACAATGACAATGAGCCAACATCAATTGAAGAATGTCGGAAACGACACGATTGGCCAAAATGGAATGAAGCTATTCAGGCTGAATTAAAATCATTTGAAAAACGTGATGTTTTTGGACCGATAGTCCCTACGCCAAAAGACGTAAAACCAGTGGGTTGTAAATGGGTATTTGTGCGTAAACGCAATGAAAAAAATGAAATCGTAAGATGTAAAGCCCGACTTGTTGCCCAAGGTTTTTCTCAAATGCCGGGAATTGATTATGAAGAAACCTATTCTCGAGTAGTTGATGCAACTACATTAAGGTTTCTCATTGAATGTCTGTTTTTGAAAGGCTGCAAATGCACCTAATGGATATAGTGACTGCATATTTATACGGTTCACTCGATACAGACATTTATACGAAAGTCTCCGGTGGATTTAAAATGTCTGAAGCTTATAGCTCGAAACCTCGAGAAATGTTTTCCATAAAACTACAGAAGTCAGTATATGAACTAAAACAATCTGGACGAATGTGGTATAATCGTCTCAGTGAATATCTTCTCAAAGAAGGATATAAGAATGATCCAATTAATCCATGTGTTTTCATTCGGCAATCAAATTCGGGATTCACCATAATTGCAGTTTATGTTGATGACTTAAACATTATTGGAACTCCAGATGAAATCGAGAATACTGCAAAATATCTTATGAAAGAATTTGAAATGAAAGATCTCGGGAGAACCAAATTTTGTCTCGGACTTCAAATTGAGCATTTGAAGAATGGAATTTTCATCCACCAATCCAATTACACCGAGAAAGTGTTGAAGAGATTCTATATGGACAAAGCTCATCCTTTGACTTCACCAATGGTCATTCGATCTCTCAACATACACGATGATCCATTCCGTCCTTGAGAAGACGACAAAGAAATACTCGGTCCCGAAGTACCATATCTGAGTGCTATTGGAGCTTTAATGTATTTAGCCAATAATACTAGACCAAATATTGGATTTTCTGTAAATTTATTAGCTAGGTACAATTCATGCCCAACAAGACGTCATTGGAACGAGATCAAACACATATTCCGTTATCTTCGCGGTACAGCTGATCTCGGCCTATTCTACCACAAAGATGAAAAAGCCGCTTTAATCGGATATGCAGACGATGGATATTTATCAGACCATTCTGAGTTAATTGCACTATATGAAATCGGAAGAGAATGTGTGTGGCTGCGATCTATGATTCAACACATCCAAAACGAATGCGGTATGAAGCCTATTACTTGTCATCCTACAGTGATCTACGAAGACAACACTGCGTGCATAGCTCAGATTAAAGAAGGCTACATCAAAGGAGATAGAACGAAACACATATCACCAAATTCCTTCTCTACTCATGATCTGGAGAAAGAAGGGACGATCAACATTCAACAAATCAGATCTAGTGAAAATCCGGCTGATCTCTTCACCAAATCTTTACCCCCAAAGAAGTTCATAGAACTTGTGCAGAAAATCGGCATGTGCCGCCTTCAAAATTTATGTTAATTTCAGGGGGAGTATTTGAATGCACTGCACTCTTTTTTCCTTCATCAGGTTTTTATCCCACTGGGTTTATCCTGATAAGGTTTTTAACGAGACAGTACATCCAAATACAACGACATTATAAGTCGTAATCTTTACCCCTTAATTTTCACAATAAATTTTTAAAATAATAAATATCTATTCAAGGATGAACAATCAAGGGGGAGTGTTGTAAAATCCTGAGAATGACAATTGTGAATTGTTCATCCTTGTCATCAGGACATTAATCCAATTTCCATCCTTGTAATAGACAGATGGCTAAGTTTAATGTTTCCAGCAGATTATGTAGAATAATTCTTTGATGATTCATCTCCTAGCCAACTAGTATAAATAAGGTGATCAACCCTTTGTAAATGTACTCAGAAATTCAGAAAATATTCACATATTAAGAAGAAATAATTTAGAGCTTTTTATCTATATATCTATCTCTTAAATTTGATCTTCATCTTCTTCATTTCACAACATTATTTTCTTATATCTAAGCAAAATATTTTTCTTTCTAATTTGTTCCCGCGTTATACAGGACGTGTTCGACATAGGGGTGGACCAGGACCGGGCAGAACTCCGGTCCGAGATTGGGTGGGCTCGGGATTAAGAATTTCAGGCCCGATACTGGCCCAGGTTAGTATCGGGCCAGGCCTAAACAATGCCGGATTGGGCCCAAAAAAATGAGCCCAAAGCTTACCCTTATATCCACTGGG